CTGGCCCTCTTGGCAATGGTTACAAAATTAACGTAAACGTTCAGATGAAAGATGCGAACCAAGGGCTAAAAGTTTGTTTAAATAATTAGCCTGCCTTGGGAATAATAATCAACTTAAATTCAAGTAATTAAACATTTGCAATTTACTTTCTGAATAACCGGTCTACTAGAGTGATCAAGTTTGTATATTCTTCATACTATACATTTCCTAAGGTGCAGATAAGGAGAATTTATCAAACGATCAAGAAGCTCTTCAGTTAGTGATCATTTCCTTTATTCTCATGACGTCACTGTGTGATTTAGGGGTGATATTGTTAGGAGAAATTAGATGCTAGTCACTCTTAAGGGTCAATGGGTTTGTTACCAGGGCTCAGTTGGCCTCAAACCTGTGCCCCCCAGATGCAAGTTGGGCATTGCCTTGCATTGCTACCAAGTGAGCTATGCCCCCACATGTCCAGTCATTATTTTTCAATGCTTTAGCCAAGCTCAATACTTGCAGTTATTTCTCACCACTAATCAGCTGCCTATTGAGTATATCTCGATTTTAAGATGATAATTCCTATGGAATGCTTTCGCATTATATTTAAAAGGCTGCCATATGATAATACTACAACCAGATAATATAATATTATACAAAATTTTGGAATGTGAGAATATAATATGCATAATTTTTTAATAAAAGAAACGTAGCAAAAACACAGAACAACTGTATAAACATCTTACCTTAAAATACTTATAAATCAAATCCAGAATAATATTGTAATCTTAGTTTTGAATACACGGCAATTGAACATTTGCTATTTCCATTCTGAATATCTACCCTACATATTTGATTATTTATTCATTAACTTCAACAGGCTTCAACAGGCCTCAAACCTTTCCCATCAGATGCCAGTTGGACATTACCACCAACTGAGCTCTGGGGCCACACATGCAGGGTGTCAAGCAAGTCCTTATATATTCCTATAAAATCCTATTTTTTCAGACTTGTCCTATAAAGTCCTATAGATTGAGGAAAAATCATATATTTTCCTATATTTTAAGCCTTCTTTCAAAAAAATATTTAAAAAGAAATATCTAGAAAAAAGAAGTAAACATTGTATTGGAGTTCAAAATCCACAATTCAGGAGATTTTTATGTCACTTAAAAACACATTGACACCTGAACCGCCCCTAACCGCCCGAACCGCGCGATTGCCTCACGCGAGAACGCTTTCCCCCTACCTCCCCTACTAAGTAGAGTTTTGTCCCCAAACATCCACTATGGTTTGGAGATCAATAAACCAATCAGAGTCCGTCGTTTGCACATATATTTTGATGGCTTTAGGGGGTTGCCGGAGGGGCATTCTATGCGTCTTTACTAAATGATCGAATTTGAAAATGGCTTCCGCGCGGCCGACCCTCAAAATTTTGGGTCATCCCCGGTGTAAAAACCTAACGAGGTTTCCTTTGTTTCATGAGGTATTGTTTTGCTTTACGCTATTGTTTATAGTGTTTTGTTGTCTTTGTTTTACGTCACTCGTGAGCTTCACAGGTTTTTATACCGAGGATGAGCCAAAATTTTCAGGTCGGATTTTTCGTTCATTTGCGATGGAGTTAGACCTTGTGGAACTCAGAATATAAAGTAACAATGCTATAGAATACTCTGCTCGGAAAAGAATGGATATTAAGGTCTCAAAGGTGAAAGAATAAGCTCTCCAGTCAACAACACTACGATTCTCTAGGGCGATGCGAATTACGGATGTAAAGTGAAAACCGAACTTTCGGACTTGCCTAGCGACAATGTGACGATTCGATGTTACTAAATGTTACTAAAATGTTATGATTTTAGATATTTCTCTGTTGTTCAGCTCTGAAATTATACTAAAACAATTATTCGCCTCAGGTTCGGTGAATGTTGTCGAATAATCCCCTTGACTTCGTCTCGGGGATTATTCGACGATATTCACTTCGCCTTCGGCGAATAATTGTTAAAGAGTAACAATGTGTTCAAAAAGTATTGTTTAATAGAAGATTTTGCATCAAATCGAAGTTTTTTCAGAATTTTGAACATAACGCTACGCAAATTTCTGGCCATGAAGGCAAGTAAACAACGATCTGAGCATGATGAATTTTACCGCGTGGACTTTGTACACATAAGAAATTCGTACAATTTTTTCGCTTATGACAGCAAATCAAAAACAGAACAGTGACTTGTGTTGCGTTATTTGGCCTTGTTTGTTGTAACCTAAGTGTTTTTGCAACACATCAATTTCCTTGCTTGTTACTTGCATTCACATCAGTGTCAATACTGAGTATTGGACTCAAACCAGTGGATATTGCCAACCATTGTTGAACTGAAAGGGATGTCAGATTGCTCTTGTTATTGATCTCACATGCCAAAGAACTTATTGTCAGTAAGATGACGTTATGATTCCAGAAAAAAAACTGATTGTTATTTTTGAATTGGGAAGACATGACTTGTTTGAAACCAACAAAGCATCTTTCTTTTATTCACTTTGAATTTGGCAACATATTAAATCTGTACATCTAGAGTGTCTAAAAAGTAAAGAACTGTAGGTTGGTTTTGTAAGTTACTGTCAGATTGGTCCTATATTTTTGCCGTTTTGGCGGGTTTTTTCCTATATTTTTAGGTCGTCCAGTCCTATATTCTTATATTTTTGGACCACTAAAGGCCTTGACACCCTGCACATTGTTTGAGGTGCAAGCTTGTATGATCTGTTTTTTCCTGTCAAGCTCAATCCTTACTGCTATTTTTTACCATTGAATTACTAGCTATTAATTATATGTTGATTGTTTTTACATGACATCACTGCAGCCATATTGGTGACCAAAACAATAGAATTGTAGCCAATTTGGTGTCCGATTCAGTCCTGTCTGAGTTAAATTATTTTCTCATGTGAACAGTTTCTATCATTCCAATAAATTTATGTTCACATCATGTCATGTAGCTGCTTTAAGAGATGTTGTCAATCTTCCCATCATCTTAATCTTGCATGCATCAACAATATAAGAAGAACATTCTTTCAAAATGTTGTTAAGTCATGGAATAGTTTGAGGCCTGTAATTCGATAGCCCTGCCCCCTTCCCTGCTCAAAAGGGCACATAAAAATACCCACCCCTCCCCTCTGGAGAACTTATCAATCAAGATATAGAGAGACCTCGTGGAAAATGTGTCCATACGATTTTTATTTACAAGTTTATTGATATCAGAGAATGAAGAGGTTAAAACAGCTGCTTGAATCATTCAAAATGTCTGAAATCATTCTCCCTTATTAGATGGTTTTCATTTCAACATTAAATTTGCAAGCCTGTCTTTCTCCTTCCCAACTGGACTGTTATATTGACCAACAAAAAAAAACAGGCAATCTGTTTAAGAGCCAACTGGCCCATCAGGCTGACGCTTTACTCCAATTTCCATCGCATGAAGGGAGTAAGAGTATTTCTACTCCCCCCAGGATGGAATGCTAGTCCATCGCAGGGCTAACACTGTAAGATGCAAAACGTTCCACAAGTGTTTAATTCGTTTCCCGTGTTCAGTCCGCGCGGGACTGGTAAAATTACGTCATTTACATTGTTAATATGAGATGAGCCATGTGCTGGCACTTGCAGAGGTCAAAATTCGGTTTAGATGTTTTTTTGCATTTTGTTTGTTTTTCTCACGAGTGTTTCTTTACGTTTTCCTTCGAGTCCACAAATCTTGTAAGTATGTTGCCACTGTAGTATTTTCGTTTCGCTTCGTTTTGTTTACGTTTGTTTCCTTTTTGTACAGTCAAACCAGATCTTCGTGAATTAAAGTTGAACTACTTGCATAATAAGACATCATGTCTCGAGTATCACATTCGACGCACGTATAGAAACTATAAAAGCAAAATAACAATGCTTTAAGAATCTTAAAATATATTTCGCTCTTCGAGCCTCATCAGTCAATTAAAGGTTATTCGAGTATTCAAGTCTACAAACACCCCCCCTCCCTCCCCTATTTAAGCACCAGGGTCAAAAGAGGCACTGTGAGAGTAAGGTGTCTTCCGAGGAACACAACATAACATCTCTGGCCAGGGCTCGAACCCATTCCACTCGATCCGGAGTCGAACGCACTAACCATAAGGCCACCCTAGCTCAAAGCAGCGCCAAAATTATCTCGACTAAATCCCTACAAAATGAGATTAGCAAAATAAAACTTCATATTGAGGTAACTGTTGATTTTATTTACGTTATAAGAAATTCAAATGTGACTGATTACGATCAAAACAAATGGTCCAGTGACCCATTGAACAAAACTAGTTTGAAAAGCGAAATATTCTAATTGAATTTCTTCCCCTTGTTTGATATATAGCTGGGGTCAGCTTCCTTATTGGTCTACAAAGACTTGCCTTTATTCCATATTCCAGAGACTGAAATCTGACCGATTACATTAAAAAACAATGGTCTAGTGACCTGTTGAATAAAACAAGTTGATAACAGAATATTCCAATTGCATTTTCAGCCCCATGATTTATATATGATGGGGTTATTCCAAAAGGTTTCAATGACTAGCTGAATAAAGGAACGATCGCTTTTCGACAAATCAATTCCAAAGTTCGTTCCAGCCTTAAAAAGTGATACTTTGTCAAGGCCTCTTGTTTACAGGATGAAAACATTCACTGAAAAACCATAAAAAAATATCATTATCCTAAACATCTATATAGCTGACTTTGTTTTTTGCAAGGAAAGCTGAAGAAAATTAACGGCTCATCATAACTTTTCGTGAGATTATTCAAAAGATAGTTCATCCCTTAAAAAACTTGATTGTTCAGACTGTAATTATAATGAAATGTTTCTAAAGAAAATTATTCCTAATATGTAAATGACGAACATGGCTGTCTGCTAAAGAGAAAGCCAAAAATTCTATCAACTCATTGCTCAACTGCAAAAAATGTCTGTGTTATATCACACAAAATGTTCCGTTTCATACGATAGGGGAAAAGATGGGGGTCTTCAAAGAAGTCAGCTTCACTCAGGGTACAGGATTTCCTAATCAGTTTTGAACCTTGCACGTTATGTCTTCTTTCCTGTAAGATAAGATTTACGATATAAGAAAAAGAGTGAATTAATTGTTAATTCATTCAATCTGTTAGTTCCAAGAATTTCTGCTATTATGACGGGTTTAGTGGCTTTGAACTTTGGACAGTGCGAAGCCTTAGGCGGGTTAATTCAACACTGAATTTGGGAGAATTTGCTCGGAGCAGCTCACTTTGAAATTGAGAACCACTATGTCTATCAGTAACTTATTGCCTGTCGTTATCAAGACACTCCTCCTTTTTTCTCGTTTGCCTTTCTTTTAACAATTGTAGAAGACATCGAGGAACTAAATGAGATACACGACACAAAACCTTTTTTACCGTAACCACCTTACTTTCTTTGCTCCATAACATGAATTAAATGAGGGTGGGCGTCTAAGAAGACTACTACTGAATTTGTATTTTGTGTCTTCTAAATGGTTTTCCCATATCGCCCTGAGTTAAGGAAACACAATCCTTTTACACTCTGAGACGAGGTAAACGAACAAGTGCGAAAGAAAATCCGCGAGTCTTCCTGACTTGCTACGACGTAGGTTATTTTATAATTAATTCTTCGTACCATGTGATTTGTCAAATAAAGTTGCCAACCTAAGGGTCACTTCTATGGTTTCTTAATTGACATCGTGACTCATCGTACTTTAACCTACCTCAATGTGATATTATCTCCAATCAGCATGAACGCAGCCCATTCCTCTTTAGGAAAGCCGTTACCTCTCATCCACTTTCGAACCTCGTGAAGAGATTCGCTGCTACTTTCACCACGAAACAAGTGTTCGTAGAAACAATTCATGAACTGCTCTGTTGATTCGTCTTCCAATTTCCACCGTGCCACTAACACCGACCGAGCACCAGATCCTAAGAACGCCCGAGCGATTCCAATGACTCCTTCGACTTTAATTTCTCCGCGTCCACTGTGACAACAGCTTAGAACAACCAGTGTAGCTCTAAGTTGAACTTCGGATACGTCAGCCATCGTCAAAAGGTATTCTTCTTCTTGTGGAATATCATTAGTAGTACGAACAGGGCAAAGGGCAATTTCTCCTCTTTCGGGATCTCCATGCGCAGCAAAATGTATCAGCGCAACTGACTTCATCTGTTCAATAACCGCCTCCTTTGTTGCATGTCTCCCTAACAATGGGGGAACGCCAAGCATTTTTCCAATCATCTCAGCTTCTTTCCTTGCCCCTGGTAGTGGATCGAGGGTCATCCGGTGTCCCCTGTAAATCACCTCACTCACCTCAGGTTCACCCACTATCAGTGCACTACTCTGACTGTGGTAGTTTGGAGGACTGTGCTTAATAAGCTTGAGGGTCGTCAAAGAAGGAACGATACGGATCCTGAATGTTTCAGAAAAATGCCTTCCTCCTTCGTCAATTAAGGCTGCAAATGGCACTTGGTACATGCAGCTATCAGAGATAATGATAATTTCAGGCTCCTTCAATAAATCGGACACGGGAGCGATGATTGTTTTGTAACACAAATGAAGCTTTTTTCCTGAGTCCATATCGTCAGCTTTATTGTAAGGCAGCGGCGATCGGTTAACATCATCAGATGATAATAAAACGGGGTCGTCATTTAATGAGCGATTTTCTTTGTCGGCGAAACAGTGGAAAGTCTCCGAAAAAAGCACTTTCGGGTTGGGAACTGATCCAGCATTTCCAAAAGTAGACGTCTCCATTCTAACATTTCGGAAATGAATAACTCCGCTTTTTTTGAGTATCCAAATTCGTACACCTTTTTCATCAGCTGAAAGGTACAGAAAAGTACAATTGGCTTCTTCTTTGATAATATCTTGGATACCACACCATGACTGCGGATCGCCTGAGAACTGGACCTGTTTAACGGAATACTGAGCCGCTATCAAGTCTGCTAGAGCTCTTGCCCGTCTCAGTTCTTCGACATAAAGAGCTTGATGCAGATTCCCGGTGACAGAAAGTAATTTACTGAACATCTCATAGGGAAAGGCGCCATGCTCCTCCAGTAGAGATATTTTGAAGGAATCATTATCTTTCACGAAGTCTCGCAATTTTTCAAATATTTCAATACATTGGAAAGATACGAAAACGCTTCTTGAAGATTGAACTGAGTCAACTTCAAAACTGTAAGGCTGCAAATAATTTTAAACTCACCCATAACTTCTCCAATGCCTTTAAAAACTCGGATAGCCTTGCATAAATATTCTTCAGCTTTATCATGTTCACCTAACACATGAGACAATGTTCCTAAGTTTCCGTAATCAGTTGCTGTTCCCTGCCTGTCGCCAATATCCTTTCTGATTGCAAGTGCTTTCTCGGTGAACTCTTTAGCTTTTTTGTATTCACCAAGCGAATGAAACAATGTTCCTAAATTTCCGTATTCAGCTGCTTCTCCCTTTCTATCCCCAATTTCCTTTGTGATTGCAAGTGCTTTCTCTGTGTATTCTTGAGCCTTTTCGTATTCACCTAACGACTGAAAAACTACTCCTAAGTTTCCGTAGTCAGTTGCTTCTCCCTTTCTGTCACCAATTTCCTTTCTGATTACAAGTGCTTTCTCGGTATCTTCTCTAGCCTTCTTGTATTCACCTACCGAATGATAAGCTGTTCCTAAGTTTCCGTGAAACTACTCCTAAGTTTCCGTAGTCAGTTGCTTCTCCCTCTCTGTCGCCAATTTCCTTTCTGATTGCAAGTGCTTTCTCAGTATACTCTTCAGCCTTTTGGTATTCACCGAGCGACTGAAACAAAGTTCCTAGGTTGCCAAGGTCAGTTGCTTCTCCCTTTCTGTCGCCAATTTCCTTTGCGATTGCAAGTGCTTTTGCGTTGAAATATTTAGCCTTTTCGTATTCACCTAGTAGATAAAACAATGTCGCTAGGTACCCGTAGTCGGATGCTTCTCCATTTCTGTCGCAAATGTCCTTTCTGATAGCAAGTGCTCTCTCGATATATTCTTTAGCCTTCTCGTATTCACCTTGTGACTTAAACAATATTCCTAAGTTTTCGTAGTCAATTGCTTCTCCTTCTCTGTCGCCAATTTTAATCCTCATTTCAAGTGCTTTCTCGATGTGCTCTTTAGCCTTTTTGTATTCACCAAGCAAATGAAACAATGTTCCTAGGTTTCCATAGTCATCTGCTTCTCCCTTTCTGTCGCCAATTTCCTTTCTGATTTCAAGGGCTTTCTCGGTAAACTCTTTAGCCTTTTGGTATTCATAGAGCGACCGAAACAGTGTTCCTAAGTTTCCGTAGTCAGATGCTTGTCCCTTTTTGTCGCCAATTTCCTTTCTGATTGCAAGTGCTTTCTCAATATATTCCTTAGCCTTTTTGTATTCACCTCGCGACTGAAACAGTGTTCCTAAGTTTCCGTAGTCGGTTGCTTCTCCCTTTCTGTCGCCATTTTCCTTTCTGATTGCTAGTGCTTTCTTATAATATTCCTCAGCTCTGTCGTATTTCTCAAGCGACTGAACGATAGCACCAAGGTTTCCGTAAATGGTAGCTGCGCGATTTCTGTCACCAATTGTCATAGTGATCGCCAGTGCTTTCTCGTAGTACTTCTCAGCCGTGTGATATTTACACAGCAAATGAAATGAGACTCTTATCCCTAAGTAACATTGTGCTTCTGCTTGTTTGTCTCCTGTTCTTCTCGTCATATCGATTGCATTCTGATAGTATTGACTTGCCATTTCAAATTCTTTTTGACTCTGGTATATCTTTCCCAATGCCAAACTTACTCTTCCTTCGCTAACTGTGTCATTAGAAGCATGATGCATTATAAGGAGTTCCTTAGCATATGTTTCTGCAGATTTGTAGTCAGGGACCCGGCACGCTGCCTCAAACATTAGCTCATTGATTGCTTGGTAAAACAGGGTAAACTGGTCTTCTTTTATCCGTGCGTTAGACCCGAGAAATATCAAACATTTTTCGCCCAACTTCATGGCTTGTAAGTCACCACCAGTCTTTTGGAAGAAGGTGAAAACAGCTACAACTGTAGCCAAAGTAAAGGCTAGAGGACAGGTTGCAGTAAATTCCTCTATGGCGTCCATTACGACCTTTTCCTGATTATTTAAATGAAACGAATGAGACAGCCTCAATCTGAGGATTAAATTCAACTATGTTAGATCTGTCTGCAGCCCCTCGATTGAAGAGTTTTCAGTTAAACTCAAGAAATGCAGTTGATTCTGAAGGCATATAATTCACCAAAATTTTTTTCTAAGCTAAAAGTAAGAGGCCTCATAGATTTGGTTCGCTCGACTTACTCTTGTATTTCACAACAGGAACCACTAATGTTCGTAATGATTAATGTTTTAAGAAGTTTTTGTAATAAAAGAGGATTGAGGATCAAAAGAAGCTGAAAATTTTGGCCGGCGTTTAGTTTTAAATTAAAGAGAAAGTGTCAAGATGATAAAAATACACGTTTACAACAAGAACTTATAATAACTGTCCTAAGTTTCTTGCCCTTATGACTGAACTAGTTTAAAGCAAGAATACTGAAGCACGATTTTCCCTACGAAAGAATGCGAGTTGTTTCATTTTTAGTTGAAAGAAAAATCATCTATCATATAGAGGAGGAAATTATTCAGCCTTACTAAGGTCATTGATACATAAACATGAAAGTCGAGGCACATCACTGTTTTAAAAGTTTATATGCAGGTTCTGTCAGCCAGCCGATGGTCTAGAATTAAGCCCGCGTTCTATGTATTTATACTTAGGGTACTCCATGGAATAACTGATATCGTATGTTCATACTTCTCAAGGAAATTTTCAGCAGCAAACCTGAGAAAGCCAAGATTGTTCTTAGTTGACCTAGTTTCACTCTTCCCTAGAGGCAATACATGCACTTCGTTGGCCAACAGTTCAGTGTAAAAACGTAGGCTACTTTACCGCCATCTCTTCGTCTTTAAATATGTAAATGATCATAGATTTTGAGTTTGATACGAAGTAAATCAGTGACTTTCAGTCTTATAATACTTTTTCCCGATCTAGTTGTTATTTATAATAACCGAGAGCTAGACGCAATCATGGGAAACAACGCGGCCTTTTGTATTATGGCGGACTGGCAGAATTCTGTTCTGACAAATCAACACGTAGTACCTTTGGTAATGTGAGTTCCCTGGATAATTAACGATCATTCACCACAGTGGAGATGAAAAGTGGTGACATTCGGGTAACACTCAGGTAACACTCATCCAGGTGACATTCGGGTAAACAATTGTTTCAGTATATACCACAGACACCAAAAAATTAGGCTACTTCTGTTAATATATCTAATCAAAGGAAACTGTGAATAAGTCGTGGATACATTAATACGTTTGGAATGGGTTTTGAAGATAATTAAATCTCTTTTAATGAAAACATACACTTTTAAATGCAAACATAGGCCGAGCCAATGAGTAACTCTCGGACAGAGTTGAAACTACTTGGAATTACTTTGAACTCCTGGGGTGATGTTGGATGAATAGTCAAAATTCACATTTTGGCCATCGGTCAGTACAAAATACAGACTGCAGACTGCAGACCGGGTACAAAATGAAGATAAGGTACCAAATGCGGACTACATACTGCAGACTGGAAATTTAAAAAGACTGTTTTTTCGTCTGATACGTGATAACATGTCATCTTAACGACTTACCGAGTGTCACGCAATCGCTTTTCCGCGATGGAATTTCATTTCTTCTTTAACTCTCCTCACTTCGCTCACGAGATGTCAGTATTGAACAAAATTACAACGTTGGTCCGTATTCTTCGTATTTTAACAGATACGAGTATGTTTTCACTTTGTTGACAAAAGTGTGAACCAAAACCAAAACTGCTCCTTCGATTTGATATATTTTCGACGTTCACGAAATGATTAATATTTGCGCAGTCACCTAACAGATGGAAGGGAAAACCACCAGAAAAGTAAACAAATGGCCAGTCACGAAAACAACGCTTAGCTTTCCCCTATAAAAAGTTAATTCACTGGTTACTCATTCAGTTGAGCTTATATAAATACTAACAGCACGCAGTGAAAAGACTGAAGGCTTCAAATCGTATTTAACAAGGACTGTGGCCAGAACGCTTTGTTAGAAACAAAATATTCTAGGGAATGGCGAGGAATATTCCACAACGATCGCGAAAGATGATCGCGGAAAAACGATTGCATTTAGCGTCTTCACTCACAGTTGCACCCCAAGTCTTTCAAAGAGTTCTGACTCGGTTACACATGTGCTGACTGCGACCAGTATTGATCGAAACTCCCTCGAAGAAAAGTCGAGTTATATTTCAATGTCGCAGCATTACTTCGGAAAGTCGGTAGAGGCATTCCGGTATAATTTCTGAAGGTCCATATCAATTGGGCTGCCGTTGACATATCTA